AATTTACAATTTATACATTTACTAATTACTAATTAATAAATACATTATATAATTTAATACTTAATAATTCTTTATTATTACTTATTATATGATATAATATATATGAATACTAAAGTACTAGATATTTAATTATTACTAATATATAATATATATAGGGGTTAGGGATACTAGGGGTTACTCGGGGATCATAATAAAACATACATATAAAGAAAGAATACATAAGGGGGTTACTAGAGTACTAGAGTACATAGGATTAATATATATACGATAAAGTAGTCCACAATGGGGTTTATATAAGGTACGAGAGGTAAAATATGTTTACAAGTCATCAGGAAATCAATGGGGGCTCCAGTAAGTTTTTTAGGTGAGTATATAATATAAATTGTCATTCTTCAGTTAATATAATGGATAAAAATCTTCCCTATTTTATTGACATCTCAATAAAGTTATCTATGATTTAACAAAAGGGTATTTTTGCCTACATTGATTACAATGAAATTAGAAATTAGCTTAATTGGTAGAGCATTCGTTTTACACGCGAAAGGTTATGAGTTCGAACCTCTTATTTCTAAATAAAAAATAATTAATAATAATTAATAATAATAAAGTAATGAATTATAATAATAATTATTATAGAAAGTAAATAATGTAAGATGTATATTTTATCAAGTATGTTAAGTATTATTTATAATGATGTACCAACACCTTATAATATATATTTTCAGGATTCTCTACTACCTCATCAAGAAGGTATTTTAGAGTTACATGATAATATTATGTTCTATATGGTACTAGTTATGGGATTAGTATCATGAATGTTAATTATTATTATTAAAGATTTTAGTAAAAATCCTATTCTTTATAAATATATTAAACATGGTCAAATGATTGAAATTATTTGAACTATTATGCCTGCTGTTATTTTATTAATAATTGCTTTCCCTTCATTCATTTTATTATATTTATGTGATGAAGTTATTTCACCAGCTATGACTATTAAAGCTATTGGTTTACAATGATACTGAAAATATGAATATTCAGATTTCATTAATGATAGTGGTGAAACTATTGAATATGAATCTTATATGATTCCTGAAGAATTATTAGAAGATGGTCAATTAAGAATGTTAGATACTGATACTAGTATTGTAGTACCAGTTGATACACATGTAAGATTTATTGTTACAGCACTTGATGTTATTCATGATTTTGCTATTCCTTCATTAGGTATTAAAATTGATCTAACACCAGGAAGATTAAGTCAAGTATCTACTTTAATTCAAAGAGAAGGTGTTTTCTATGGACAATGTAGTGAATTATGTGGTGCTCAACATAGTGCTATGCCTATCAAAATTGAACTTGTTAGCTTACCACTATTCTTACTTTGATTAAATGAACAATAAGTTTATTTAATTAATTATTAATATTCATTTTTTATTTATATTTTTTAAATATAAAAATAAAGATAAAGATAAAAATATAAAGATATAAATATTATAAAGATAAAGATATTTAAGGATCTAAAGATAGATAATTAATGGGATAGGGTACACACCCCCCTAATAGTGGTGGTACCCCATTAATAATCTATAAATAATTCTTAACTAATAATTTAATATATATATTCATTTAATTTATATATTAAAAGATAAAATTATAATAATATATAAGCAATATAATATATTCATATAAAAAAATCACAATATAAATAAATTTATTAAAATAAAATAAATAATAATAAAAAAATGATAAATAATATAATAAATAATTTATATAATTAATAAATTAAAGTGAAATAATATTAAAAATGTGTTTATTAATATAATAAAATATATTATATAATACAGATTGAACCGAGTGGTTTAGGGGCTGTTTTTGGGAAGCAGAATATGTTAGTTCGATTCTAACCAATCTGAAAAATAATAAATAAATTATTATAAATTTTTATAAAATAATTAAATAATGTAATAATTAAAATATTTTATTGATTAAATTAATAAAATAAATAACTAGATTCTTTTTATTAAAAAATAAAATAAAGAGATAAAAATATCGATATGTATTTACAGAGATGATTATTTTCAACAAATGCTAAGGATATTGCAATTTTATATTTCATTTTTTCTACATTTTGTGGTTTAGCAGGTACAGCTATGTCATTTATTATTAGAATGGAGTTATCAGCACCTGGTCAACAATATTTACAAGGTCAAAATCAATTATTTAATGTATTAGTTACAGGACATCTAATTTTAATGGTATTCTTTTTAGTAATGCCTATGTTAATTGGTGGTTTTGGTAATTATTATTTACCATTAATGATTGGTGCTTCAGATATGTCATTTGCAAGATTAAATAATATTTCATTTTGACTATTACCACCACTATTAGTATGTTTATTAACATCAACAATGGTTGAAGCTGGTCTAGGTACTGGTTGAACAGTTTATCCACCTTTAGCATCTATTCAATCACATTCTGGTGCTTCAGTTGATTTAGCTATTTTTTCTTTACATTTAACAACTATTTCATCATTATTAGGTCTTATTAATTTTATTGTTACAGCTTTAAATATGAGAACTAATGGTATGACTATGCATAAAATGCCTTTATTCCTATGATCAATTTTAATTACAGCAGTAATGTTATTAATGTCATTACCAGTATTATCAGCAGGTATTACAATGTTATTAATGGATAGAAATTTCAATACATCATTCTTTGAAGTTCAAGGAGGTGGTGATCCAATTTTATATCAACATTTATTCTGATTCTTTGGTCATCCAGAAGTTTATATTATGATTGTACCACTATTTGGTATTATGTCACATATTGTATCAACTTATTCTAAAAAACCTGTATTTGGTGAAATTTCTATGATTTATGCTATGGGTTCTATTGGTTTATTAGGTTTCTTAGTTTGATCACATCATATGTATGTTGTTGGTTTAGATCTAGATACTAGAGCTTATTTCACTTCACTAACTATGATTATTCTTATTCCTACTAGTATTAAAGTATTTAGTTGATTACTAACTATTTATGGTGGTTCAGTAAGATTACTAACACCTATGTTATATGCTTTCTCATTCTTATTCTTATTTACTATTGGTGGTTTAACTGGTGTAGTATTAGCTAATCTATCATTAGATGTACTATTCCATGATACTTATTATGTAGTTCTACATTTCCATTATGTATTAAGTTTAGGTGCAGTATTCTCTATGTTTGCTGGTTATTATTATTGAAGTCCACTAGTATTAGGTTTAAATTATAATGAAAAATTAGCACAAATTCAATTCTGATTAATTTTCTTTGGTCTTAATATTATTTTCTTCCCTATGCATTTCTTAGGTATTAATGGTATGCCAAGAAGAATTCCTGATTATCCTGATCTATTCCTAGGTTGAAACTTTGTAGCTTCATTTGGTTCAATGATAACTGTAGTATCATTACTATTATTCCTTTATATTATTTATGACCAATTAGTTAATGGTTTACTAAATAAAGTTAATAATAAATCTATTAACTATATGAAACTACCTGACTTTACTGAATCTAATAATATCTTCTTATTAAATCCTACTAAATCATCATCTATTGAATTTATGTTAAACTCACCTCCACTAGTTCATTCTTTCAATACACCTCTAATTCAATCTTAATATTATTAATTTGAATTTTAAAAATATTCTTTATTATAAGTTAGTGGATATAGTTTAATAGGTAAAACATATGTTTTAGGGACATGTATCTTCAGTTCAAATCTGAATATCTACATTTTAAATAATTAATTTATTAAATAATATTATAAATTATATTGTTAATATATCATTAAAAATTATATTGTGAAAATAATATTGTTAAATATTGTTAAAATATATGAATATAATATTGTGAAATATTGTAAATATATTAATAAATAATAATATAGCGCATTATTAATATTATAAATTATATAGCGCATTATTAATGGGGTACCACCACTATTAGGGGGGTGTGTACCCTACACCATTAATAATAGCTTAAACATTAAATACATTAAATAAATTATAGAAATGTTATTGGTATTTAAAAAAAAGAGTTCAAATCTCTTCATTTCTTCTTATTTAATTAATAAAAATTATAATAAGATATTTAAATAAAAAATTATAAAATAATAAATATTTTTAATTAATATTTAAAATAATATAAAGAGAATTAAAAAAAAAATGTTACATTTACAGAGATCAAGATTTCAACAATTTCCATTTCATTTAGTACTACCATCACCATGACCGATTGTTACATCATTTAGTTTATTAGGTTTACTATTAACTTTACTATTTACAATGCATGGTATTATTGGTACAGTATATCCTTTATTTTTATCATTATTAGTAGTATTATCACTAATGACATTATGATTTAGAGATATTGTATCAGAGCTAACATATTTAGGAGATCATACATTAGCAGTAAGAAAAGGTATTAATTTAGGATTTCTATTATTTGTAGTATCAGAAGTATTAATTTTTGCATCATTATTTTGAGCATATTTCCATTCAGCTATGAGTCCTGATATTCTATTAGGAGGTACATGACCACCAGTAGGTATTGAAGCAGTACAACCAACAGAATTACCATTATTAAATACTATTATTTTATTAGCATCAGGTCTAACTATTACATATAGTCATCATGGTTTAATTGAAGGTAATAGAAAAAATGCTTTATCAGGTTTACTAATTACTTTCTGATTAATTGTTATTTTTGTTTTATGTCAATATATTGAATATACTAATACATCATTTACTATTTCAGATGGTGTTTATGGTTCAGTATTCTTTGCTGGTACTGGTTTACATTTCTTACATATGGTTATGTTACTAATTATGTTAGGTATTAATTATTGAAGAATAAGAAATTATCATTTAACATCAACACATCATGTAGGATATGAAACTACAACTATTTATTTACATGTTTTAGATATTATTTGATTAGCTTTATATATTTGTTTCTATTGATGAGGAGTTTAATAATATTTAATAATTTTAATATTCATTTTTTAATTTAATAATCATTTAGGTGGATAGGGTACACCCCCCCGTAGGGCGGTACCCGCCTAAATGAAAATCATTTAATCTCATTATCATTAACATTATTCACCATTAAATAATATAAATATAATTTATATAATTAATAATTTAATATAAAAATAATATAATATATATAATAATAATATTAAATTAAAATATAATATATAATATATAATATAAAGTATTTAAATAATATATTAATTAATATTAATTAATAAAAATATAATAAAGTATAAATAATATAAATAAGGTATATATAGAAAGGTATATATGGGAGGTATATTAATAAATATTATAAAGTAAATAAATAAAAGAAATAAAGTAGCCTTTATAGCTTAGTGGTAAAGCGATAAGCTGAAGATTTATTAACATGTAGTTCGATTCTCATTAAAGGCATAGCTATTTTGGTGGAATTGGTAGACACGACACTCTTAAGATGTGTTCTTTAACAAAAGATGAAGGTTCAAATCCTTTAAATAGCATAAAAAATAATAAACTGAGCTGTTGACTAATAGGTAAGTCACCAAGATTTGAGTTTGGTATATGTTTGTTCAAATCAAACCAGTTCAATTATTGAAATATTAGGGAATATTGTTTAATGGTTAAAACAGTTGTCTTTTAAGCATCTCATGTCGGTTCAATTCCGGCTATTCCTATTAGCTCTCTTAGCTTAATGGTAAAGCCTAATACTTCTAATATTATGAGTCTATGTTCAAATCATAGAGAGAGTATTTATTATATATTAAATAGATATAAGTTAATTGGCAAACTAGATGTCTTCCACACATTATTTGTGAGTTCGAGTCTCACTATCTATATAAATTTATAAAAATTAAATTAAATAAATAATAAAATAATTAAATTATTAAATTAATAAATAATTAAATAAATAAATTAATAAACAAAATAATTAAATAAATAATTCAATAAATTAATAAATAAATAAATAATAAGGATTTGTAGCTTAATAGTAAAGCACTATCTTGTCACGATAGTAGATGTCAGTGCGATTCTGATCAAATTCGTTTATAAAAACTTTAAATAAGAAAAGTTAGCTATTGGTAAAGCGAGTTACTTGCTATGTAATGAATTATTATTCTTATGAGTTCGATTCTCATACTTTTCGTATTTTATTAAGGTAAATATATTTCAATGGTAGAAAAGATGCTTGTGGTGCATTTAATATGAGTTCAATTCTCATTATTTACCCTCACATTATTTATTAATATATAACATAATATATTTATTATATTTAATAATATAAATTAACACATAATATATAATATTATAATTTAACAATATAATAATATAATAATCTAAATATATAATCAATATAATATTAATATATAACTTAATATATAAAATATATATATATAACATTAATATTTATATATATATAACATAATATTATTAACTAATATAATATAAAGTATATAAAATATATTTAACATATAAAATGTATATGATATAAAGTATATATAATAATATAAAGTAAATAAAGTATATATAACATCTTAATTATATACTATTAATTATTAATATAAAATATATATAACATATAGTACATATAATATTTATTAAAATATAAAGTATATATTATATATGATAATATAGAGTAAATAAAGTATAAATAACATTTTAATTATAATTATTAATTATTAATATAACATATAAAGTATATAAATTATATATAACATCTTAATTAGAGAGGTACCATCCCCTACTAGGGGGGGGGGATGAACCCTACTTCTCTAATTAATTTAAAATTAAATTCCTTTATTAATATATAAATAATATATAAATAATATATAAATAATATAATATTAAAACTTATATAGCTTAATGGTTAAAGCATTTGTCTCATAAACAAATAATATAGGTTCAATTCCTTTTATAAGTATTTCTACTACATAAATAATATAATATTTAAATAAAAAAATATTATAAATAATTATTATTAATTATTTTAATTAAATAAAACAATAAAAATATGAAATATAATTTAATAAATGAATTAATAAATAATAAAAATATTAATAAGAAATTAAAGTTAAAATCAATGTTATTATATATGAATTTAAATAGATTAAATAATTTTAATAAGGATATAAATAATTATAAAAATAAGTATGTAAATAAAGGTATAAATTTACAGCATTTAAATAAATTAAATCTTTATAATAATAAATTATATTATTATAATAAGCAGTATCTTATTAATATGTGATTATTAGATAATCTATTTAGTTTATTATTAAAGAAATTAATGTTTAATGATAATCTTTTAATGACTACTCCTAAGTTTGAGCATAGACTTAATAGTATTCATATTAAATATTATTATTATAATTTTAATAATTTAACTTAATAATGAGTATGAATTATTATATAAAAATTATCTAATAAATATGTTTAATAATTTAATAAATTTATTAAATAATGATTTTAATAATATTAGTGATTTATTACTTAATTATTATAATAAAAAAGTTTATATTAATCTTTATAAATTAAAATATAATTATTTAGATCTTGAATTATTAAGTAATTTAATAATTAAAATTTATATAAATAATAATAAAGGTTTAACATTAAGATCAATAAAAAATATTATTAATAAATTACCTTATCTTAATGATAAATTAGTATCAGAAAATTATGTTAAAACAATTAATAAATATAATTTATACTTAAATAATAATATAATTAATTTAATAAATAATCAAAAATTATTAAATAATAATAATGATTTCTTAATGAATTTATTTAATAAAGATAAAGATTTATTTAAATTAGATATTCTAAATAAATTATTATTAGGTAAGTATTTAGTGGGTCTAGGTTTTAAATTGAAAGGTAGACTATTAAATAAAAATATTACAAGAAGTATAACATTACAGGTTATGAATGGTACGTTTAATAATTATACATATCAATGAAGTAAATTAAATAATTTATATAAATTAAATCATTTATCACAAAATATTAATGTACTTAATTATTCATCTATTAATAAAAATGGTAAATTTAATATAAAAATTAAATTAAATACTATTTAATAAAAAAATATTCTTTATATTATATATATATTATAAGTAATTTCTGATTTATTTTATACATTTTAAATAAAATGTTAGTTAAATATTGATAAATCAATAAATAATAAAAATAATAATAAGATGCCACAAATGATTCCATTTTTCTTTATAAATCAATTAACTTATGGTTTTCTATTTATTTTACTAATTTTATTATTACTATCATACTTTTTCTTACCTCTAATCTTAAGATTATATACTTCTAGATTATTTGTATCAAAATTATAATAATAAATATTAAATAAATATTTTAAAAGATCTTATATTATATAATGATCATTATATTAATATTAAAAATATAATATAATAAAGAATTTAAATAATTATAAAAAAAATATGAAATATTATATTAATTCTCCATTGGAGCAATTTGAAATTAGAGAGTTATTAGGATTAACATCTCCGTTACTAGATTTTAGTAGTATTAATATTACTAATTTTGGTTTATATCTTATTATTCTATTAACAGTTATTATTCTATTAAATGTATTAACAACAAATAATAAAAAATTAGTAGGATCTAATTGATTTTTAAGTCAAGAAATAATTTATGATACTATTTTAAATATGGTTAAAACACAAATTGGTGGTAAAGTATGAGGTTACTACTTCCCATTAGTTTATACATTCTTTATTCTAATTTTTACTATAAATTTAATTAGTATGATTCCTTACTCATTTGCAATGACATCACATGTAGTATTTGTAGTATCAATGAGTATAATTATTTGAATAGGTCTAACTATTGTAGGATTTTATACTCATGGTTTAAAATTCTTTGGATTATTTTTACCACTAGGTACACCATTAATTTTAGTACCATTATTAGTATCAATTGAGTTATTATCATATTTTGCAAGACTTATTTCATTAGGTTTAAGATTATCAGCTAATATTATGGCTGGTCATTTATTAATTGTTATTTTAGGTGGTTTATTATTTAATTTAATGGCTATGAATATTTTCACATTCATTTTAGGTTTCTTACCTATGTTAGCTATTTTAGGTATTGTATGTTTAGAATTCGCTATTCTAATTATTCAAGCTTATGTATGATGTATTTTAATGTCATCTTACTTAAAAGATCTAATTTATTTACATTAATTTAATAAATAATATTAATATTCATTTTTCTTGTAATTATTATTAAATAATATTAAGATAACTATTTTTTTTTAATATTTAATTAGAGACGTAGGGTACACACCCCCCTTATTAGTGGTGGTACCCCTCTAATTAATACTTTAATTACTATATTACATCATTATTAACAACTAATTCATACTTTATTATCTTAATATTATTATTACTTAATATACTTAATAACATTATATAACATAATATAATATATAATATAATATAAAATATAACATATTATTACTTAAATATTTAATAACATAATATAACATAACATATATAAAATAACATATATAAATAACATATAATATAATATATAACATATATATTTCAATATATAAAATAAATAATATATAAATATAAATATAATAATATAATATAATATATAACATATATATATTTCAATATAATAGATTATAAGTAAAATATAAGGGTATAGTTTAATTGGCAAAACTATTGACTTCAAATCAATCATTAAGAGTTCAAATCTTTTTATCCTTGTTATATATTAAAAAAATAAATAATATATAAAGTATTAAAATAATGAATATTATGTATTTATATTAAATAAAATATGTAATAAATATAAAATATTGGTTATATTTTAATTATTAAATAATATGCAATTAGTATTAGCAGCTAAATATATTGGTGCAGGTATTTCAACAATTGGTTTATTAGGAGCAGGTATTGGTATTGCTATCGTATTTGCAGCTTTAATTCAAGGTGTTTCAAGAAATCCATCAATGAAAGATACATTATTCCAATTTGCTATTTTAGGTTTCGCTATTAGTGAAGCTACAGGTTTATTCTGTTTAATGATTTCATTCTTATTATTATATGGTGTTTAATTTTTAATAAATTAAATTAAATAAATAATAAATAATATTCAAAATAAGTTACATTAGCTTAATTGGTAGAGCATTCGTTTTGTAATCGAAAGGTTAGGAGTTCAAATCTCTTATGTAACATATTATTATTATAGACCTTATCGTCTAATGGTTACGACATCATCTCTTCATGTTGAAAATATCGGTTCAATTCCGATTAAGGTTATTCATTCAATATATATATATAATATATAATTAAATATTAACTAATATATTAATAGTATATAATATAATATAATATATAATATATATAATGTATATTGTATATTTAATGTTATATATAAATATTATGTATTATTATATATAGTTTATAATGTTAATATTATATAAATAATATATGATAAAATATATTTATAGTATATAATGTATATTAATATTGTATATTAAATGTTATAAATTAAATGTTATATATTTATATTGTATATATAGTATATGATATAATATATGTTAATAATATAAATTAATAGTAAATAATATTAATATGTTAAAATATTAAATATTGTATATATAAATGTTATATCTATTGATAATTGTATAATATAATATAATATAGTAATTGTTATATATTGGTAATGTGTATTAATTAGATGTGTACCACCCTATATTAGGGGGTGTGTACGCTACTCATCTAATTATATACTTTAATCTTAAAGGTTATTATTGGTTCAATTCCAATAAAGATTATAAAATTAATAAATTAATAAATAATTATAATAATTAAATAATATAATTAATATATTAAAAATAATATAGAATTATATAAATTAATAATATTAATGAGTAATATTAATATTTTTTTATTATAAAACAAATGGCTTATAGAAAATCTAATTTATATTTAAATTTGGTTAATAGTTATGTTATTGATTCACCGCAACCATCATCAATTAATTATTGATGAAATTTAGGTTCATTATTAGGATTATGTTTAGTTATTCAAATTCTTACAGGTATTTTTTTAGCTATGCATTATTCATCAAATATTGAATTAGCTTTCTCATCAGTAGAACATATTATGAGAGATGTACAACTAGGTTGATTAATTAGATATATGCATCTTAATGGTGCTTCATTCTTCTTTATTTGTATGTATATTCATATTGGTAAAGGTTTATACTATGGTTCTTATAAATCACCTAGAGTTATTGTTTGAACTGTTGGTGTTATTATTTTCATCTTAACTATAGCAGCAGCTTTCTTAGGTTACTGTTTAGTTTATGGACAAATGTCACATTGAGGTGCTACTGTTATTACTAATTTATTTAGTGCTATTCCATTTATTGGTAATGATATTGTACTATGATTATGAGGATCTTTCAGTGTTAGTAATCCTACTATTATAAGATTTTTCCTATTTCATTATTTAGTACCATTTATTATTGCAGCTATGGTTATTATGCATTTAATGCTATTACATGTTCATGGTTCATCTAATCCATTAGGTATTACAGGTAACTTAGATAGATTACCTATGCATGGTTACTTTATTTTTAAAGATTTAGTAACAGTATTTGTATTCTTAATCTTCTTTTCATTATTTGTATTCTTTTCACCTAATACATTAGGACATCCGGATAATTATATTCCAGGTAATCCATTAGTTACACCAGCATCAATTGTACCAGAATGATATTTATTACCATTTTATCTAATTTTAAGATCTATTCCTGATAAATTAGGTGGTGTTATTACTATGTTTGGTCTTATTTTAGTATTATTACTATTACCAATTACAGATAGATCAATTATTAGAGGTAATACATTTAAAGGATTATCTAAATTCTTTTTCTTCTTATTTATTCTTAATTTCATTTTATTAGGTAAATTAGGTGAATGTCATGTTGAAGTACCATTTATCTTAGTAGGTCAAATTTGTACATTTATTTACTTTGCTTACTTCTTAATCTTAGTACCTATTATTTCTACTATTGAAAATATTTTATTTTATATTGCTAATAAAAATTAATAATATATAATTTTAAATATTTTATAATATTCTTTAATTTATTATCATTTAGAATGCTAGGGTAGACCCCCCCATAGGGTGGTACCCTTCTAAATGATAGCTACTTATTAACAAATACCACAAATAATACATTTTTTTAATCATAAACATTAATTATTCTATTATAACATATAATATAAATATATAATATATAATATCAATTTATTATTTTATATAATATATATAAATTAATAAAAAATATATAAATTTTTAATATAATTAATATAATACATTATTATAATCATAAACATTAATTATTATATTATAACATTTAATATCAATATATTATATCAATATTAAAGATAATATAATATAGTTTAATATAATATATAATATAATATAGTATAGTTTAATATAGTTTAATATAATATAGTTATATATAATATATACATAGTATTAAGTATTATTATAATATGAAATATAAAGATTAATAATATAAATATAGTATATAATATGTATAAATAATATCAATATAACATATAATATTATTATTAAAGATAAATAAAAATATAGTATATATATATAATATATAAAGATATAGTGTATTATTATTAATATAAATAATATATAATATATAATATAGTTTAATATATATAATATAATATAGTTTAATATAATATGTATATAGTATAATATATAATATCAATATTTAATATAAATAATTAAAATATAGTATTTATCAATATAAATATATAATATTTTATAAATATAAAGATATAGTATTAATATATAATATAATAATATATAATATTATTAAAGATAAATAAAAATATAGTATATATCAATAATATATAAAGGTATAGTATATTAATTATTAATATAAATAGTATAGGAATATTAATATAGTTTAATATAAATATATAATATAGTTTAATATAATATATATAAATAACATCAATATATTATATATATAAATATAGTATATAATATTATTATAAATAATATAATAATAATAATATAAATATAAAGGTATAGTGTATTATTTATGACTATAATAGTATAGGGTATTAATTAGAGAGGTACCATCCCCTACTAGGGGGGGGATGAACCCTACTTCTCTAATTAATGTTAACTAACATTATCAATATTAACTAATTATTAATTAATATTAAATAACATAAATAATATTAACTAATATATTAAATAATAAATAATATAATCAATATTTAAATAATATAAATAATAACTAATATAAATAATAACTAATTAATTAAATAATTTAAATTTAAATAAATTAAATATTTATTAATGAAATTAAGAAGATAAAAGTTAATAAATTATAAGTAAATTATTAGGACTATATAATTATAGTTTTATAAAGCATAAGGAAGTTTGACTGAGTGGTTTAAGGTGTAATATTTGAGCTATTATAAATCATAAGATTTCATAGGTTCGAATCCTATAACTTTCGTTAAAATAATATATATAAATAATATATATAAAAAATAGATTAATAATGAGAACATGATGTTGGTTCAGATTAAGCGCTAACTAAGGACATTACACATGCGAATCAGACGTTAATATTATTAATTAATGATATTAATAAGTGGTGAACTCGTGAGTAAAAAATAAGAATAATGAACTTAAAATTTAACTAAATATTAAATAATAAATAAAGAATAATGTAAAAATTATTTGTTTTAAGTCAAGCTTATAATGATTTAGGTAATAGTATTAAAAAAAATAAATACTAGCCAGAGATTCATAATTGTTTATTAAAGTAAGAACAATCACGTTGATTTAGAAATTATAATCAATATCTATATGATACAGCAGTGGGGAATATTGGACAATGATCGAAAGATTGATCCAGTTACTTAGTAGAATGATAAAATATATTAATATTTAATATATTATTGGTTAACAATAAAATTCACTAATTTATTTAAATAATGATTAAATAACCTTAATATAAAATTATTATATTTTTTATAATATGATAATGAGGTATATATCTTTTTAAGGTATATAATTAAATAATCCCAACCAAAATTTGTGCCAGCAGCTGCGGTAAGACAAAGGGGGTTAGCGTTAATCGTAATGGCTTAAAGGGTTCGTAGAATGATTAATAAATATTAATTAGGATTAATATAAAATAATTTAAGAATTATTCAAGTAAAGATGAAATAATAATAATAAGAATAAGACTTATAAAGTGAAAATTTAAATTATATATTAATTGACATTGAGGAACGAAGGCTAGAGTAGCAAATCGGATTCGATACCCGAGTAGTTCTAGCAGTAAACAATGAATACCTATATTAATTATTTAATAAAATATAATTAATATTAAATGAAAATTAAAGTATTCCGCCTGATGACTACGTTAGCAATAATAAAAATCAAAACAATAGACGGTTACAGACTTAAGCAGTGGAACATGTTATTTAATTCGATAATCCTCGATAAATCTTACCATTTTTTGAATATTTAATATTTATATATCTATTAAAAATATGTAAATATTAATTACAGGCGTTACATAGTTGTCTTCAGTTCGTGCTGCAAAGTTTTAGAATTTATCATAAACGAACATAACTCCATATATATTTTATTAATAATATATTAATTAATTATTTAATGAATAATTAAGAAAGGAATTAAGACAAATCATTATGATCCTTATAAAATGGGCAATAGACGTGTTATAAAATAATATACAAAATTATAATAATTTATTAAAAAAAATAAAGAATTAATAATTAAAATATTATAAAATTTAATAAAATAATTTATTATTAAGTATGGATTTTTAACTGAAATTTGTTAAAATGAAATAAGAATTGCTAGTAATCAATTAATAAGAAAGTAATGGTGAATACTCTAACTGTTTCGCACTAATCACTCATCACGCGTTGAAACATATTATTAACTAAAGAATATAATTTATATTAATATTTATTATTTATTAATATTATTTATTAATATTTTAAATCATATTTTAAGTTAAATTATGAATTGATGCGAAGTTGAAATACAGTTACTGTAGGGGAACCTGCAGTGGGCTTATAAATATCTAAAATATTCCATTTATACATAAATATATATATATTTCTTAATATATATAAAAATCAATAATATATATATCTAATATATATTACAATATAATATAATTATAATATTATAACAATATAATATAATATTAATATAATTTTAATATAAAAAGTATATAAAATATATTAATAAAGATTAAGTATTTAATAATTAAAGTAAATAATAATTATTTTATTATAAAAAATTAAATATGTAAATTAATTAGAGAAGTAGGGTACATCCCCCCCTTATTAGGGGATGGTACCTCTCTAATTAATACTTTAATAGTTAAAATATCTTTAATAATTTAGTTAAAATTATATCATAAATATTTTAATAATATATAATACTTTAATAATATAATATATTAATATTTAAAATATAATACTTTATATTGAATAATAAATATATAATTTATAATATATAATAGTATATATTAAATATAATAATTAATTGAATATTAATTAATACTTTAATAGTTAAAATATCTTTAATAATTTAGTTAAAATATCATTAATAATTTAATTAAAAATATACTTTAATAATATAATATATTAATAATAATATATATTTTTAATACTTAAGTTATATAATAAAATATAATAATTAATATTTTAATAGTTAAAATTATATCATTAATAATTTAAATAAGTATTAAATATTAAATATGATAATAATTATAATATCAATAATTAATAAATAATAAAATATATAATAATTTTAAATAATTAAATAAAATTAAAATATATATAAAAAAATAAAGATTATATAAAAATATAATAATATAATATTAAATAAGTATTAAATCTTTAAATTAATTAGAGATGTAGGGTACATCCCCCCCTTAGTAGGGGATGGTACCTCTCTAATTAATACTTTAATAATAATAGTTATAATTAATACTTTAATAATAGTTATATAATACTTTAATAATAGTTATATCTTTATATTTTAGTTATAATATTAATAATATAATACTATATTAGTAATTATATAAATTATATATCAATATTTAATAATAATATATATATATTGAATAATAATAGTTATATTTATAATACTTTAATAATAATATAAATAATATAATACTTTAATAATAGTTATATCTTTATATATATAATAATATAATATACTCTATTAATAATAGTTATATCTTTAAATATATATAATATACTCTATTAATAGTAATAGTAATAGTTATATCTATAATATAATATTTAAATTAAGTATAATATGTAATAATATAATATATTAATAAATTATATATCAATAATTAATAATATATATTGAATAGTAATAATTATATTTATAAATTTTAGTTATAAATAATATACTATTTAAGTTAATAAAATATAAATAATATAATACTTTAATTAAGTATTAATATGTAATAATATAGTATTTAAATAGTAAATATATATGAATAATAGTAATAATTATATGAGATATATAATACTTTAATAATTTTAATAATTAATTGTTATAAAATAATATATAAAATAGTATAAAATAAATATAAATTTTAATAATAAGAAATGAAGAGAATCGAACTCTTAATAATTAAATTTGCAATTTAATAGTTTAACCGTTAAACAACATTTCCTTAATAAAATAATAAATATTAATAATTATAATAAAATAATAAATATATACAGAATTATAATAAAATAATAAGTATTAAGAATTATAATAATATATAATCATATTAATTAGGAGTGTAGGGTTCACCCCCCATAGGTGGTACCCTCCCTAATTAATATTACTATAACTATAATACAAAAATATAAATAACTACTATTATAAATTATCTTATTTAAATTATATTATTAAATTATATTATCAATATATAAAATATATATATAAAATATAGAATATATACAGAATATATACAGAATATAGTATTATATTATATACCAAATTATATCATTAATATTAATATCAATATATAAATATCATATATCAAATATATAAAAAAATATAAAATATATCAAATAATAAAGTATTATATCAATATAAATATTATATACTATATATTAATTATATAAAATATATACAAATAATAGTATTAATATAATGTATTATATTATATTAAAATTATATTATTAATATCTATATATAAATATTATGTATTAAATTTATAAAATTATAAAGTATATTATTAAATTATCAATATATACTAATAAATATATTAAATTATATAAAAAATATAGTATTAATATATCATATATAATATATAAAATATAAATGTATAAATGTATAAGATTAATAGGATTTGAACCTATATTGGTACCTTATCAAAGTACTATTCTAACCTATTGAATTATAATCTCTTATTATTATTATTATTATTATTATAAATAATAATTATATTATATATATAAATGGAATTAATGAGAATTGAACTCATATTAAATGCATGCAAAGCAATCATTTTACCAATTAAATTATAACCCCTTTATTTATTAGTTCTTAATAGGAATCGAACCTATATAGTTTCATTAACAGTGAAATGCTTTAACCATTAAGCTATAAAAACATATATCTTTTATTTTATTAAAATAAATAATAAAAAATTAATGAAGAGAATAGGAATTGAACCTATGAAGAACTATGTCATTGAGTTTACAGCTCAACTTCAATTACCAACATTGAAAATCTCTCCTTATATTTAATATATTATACTAATATAGTATGGAAATATTTACTTATAATTTATATATAATTTCTATTATAAATATTTATATATATCATATTATATATATATATATATATTATTATTATTCTTTTATTTATTATTATATTATTATTATATTATATATATATTATACTATTATTAATTATAATATTAATATTATTAATATTAAATGGTAGGTAATAATTATTTATAAATAATTTAATATTAAATGGTAGGTAATTAATGGGGTACCACCACTATTAGGGGGGTGTGTACCCTATCCCATTAATTATCTATTTACAATTATTACTTTAATATATTATAATTATCTAATATATTATATCTAATTATCTATTTACAATTATTACTTTAATACATTATTATTTAATATATAATATTTTATTATCTATTTATAATTATTACTTTAATATTATTATCTAATATATTATATATTATTATATATTTACAATTATTATATTAATATATTATTATTATCTAATATATTATATTTTATTATTTATATCAATTATTTTAATATTTATTATCTAATATATTATTTTAATATTTTATTAATATTTAATATAATATTTTTATTTAAATTAAATATTTAAATATTATACTATTATTTAATTTATAATTTTATAAAGAAATACTATAGTAAAAGTAACAATTTCGATTGTTAAAGTATAGATAAATTTGAAATATTTATTATAAAGATTTAAAGGGACAATTATGGATAAATATAGCTATCAATAAATAGGTTACTAATAAATATTAAATAATAAATATTTTAAAACCTAAGGTAAACCATTATTATATATTTTATATAAAAAAAAATAGAATATATAAACTTATGTAACTAAGCGAACTAAAACATTTAATTAGCTTAAGGAATATAAATCAACAGAGATATTAAGAGTATAGGTGATAGAAATTAATAAAGTCAATAAGTATTATGTTATAATATAATGTAAGAATATAGGATACAAATTCTAAGACTAAATATTATTGATAAGCTTAAATAAGTACCGTAAGGGAAATTTAATAAATAGTTGTTCTACAAGCAGTTATATATATATAATATAATATATAAATAACGTACCTTTTGTATAATGGGTCAGCAAGTAATTAATATTAGCAAAATAATAAAATTATTATAAATAATATAAATATTTAACAATGTTAATATATATTAAAAAAAAATAATATAAATAAGTTAATATTAATTAACCCGAAAGCAGATGATCTTACTATTATCAAATGATTAAAGTATTAATATTATAAATAAAATTAAGGTATTAATAAAAACGATTGAACAGGTTAATGTAGCAATATTATCTGATGAATGATGGTAAGTAGAGAAAGTCAAATCTGATTTGCAAATAGCTGGTTTTCTACGAAACATATGTTAGTATGATTATTTAAACTTAGAATTATATGGTACAGCTCTTAATATTAATAAAAATTTGGGGAATAATAATTATTCTATCAAAGGTATTAAATCTCAGAATATAATAATTTCTAAAATTAAATATTTCAGATTATTAGCGATAAGGTTAATAATCAAAAGGGAAACAGCCCAGACTAAAGATAAAGTTCCTAATTAATTAATTAAGTGAAATTAATATTTAATAAAAAGGTTAATAATCAAAAGGGAAACAGCCCAGACTAATAGATAAAGTTCCTAATTAATTAATTAAGTGAAATTAATATTTAATAAATATATAACAATTAGTTGATGGGTTTGATAATAATCAATCTTTAATGAACATGTAACAATGCACTAATTATAATTATAATTAATAAAATAAATATTTATTTAAATCATTATTTTAATATTATTAAATTAATATTATTATAATGTAAATAAAAAATACACGGATCTAAATAATTAACTGAATCTTTAGATTATTATTATTAATTAATAAAATAATAATAATGGTAGTAGAACATCTAATAATATAAAATATAATTATTATTCAATTATATAAAATATTTTTTTTTAATAAAAAATAAATAGAATTAGATAGAGAATGCTGACATGAGTAACGAAAATAAGGTATAATCCTTATCACCTAAAGCATAAGGTTTAACAATAAAAGCGGTTCTTAAGTTAAATATTAAAAAATATTTCAATGATAGAAATAACTAATATATAAAAAAACTTAATCAATATATGTTTTTTATAATAAAAAATGTATATAAATTTATTAAGTTCAAGAAGTAATTATATATTTAATACCGTAATGTAGACCGACTCAGGTATGTTAGTAGAGAATATGAAGGTGAATTAGATAATTAAAGGAAAGGAACTCGGCAAAAATAGCTCTGACGTTAGTCAATAAAGAGATATATATTATTAAAAAATAATAATATAAAGAACAAGGTTGTACAACTGTTTACTAAAAACACAGCACTTTGCGGAAACGTAAGTTTAAGTATAAGGTGTGAACTCTGCTCCATTTTAAAATATAAATAATATTATTGAAAGGTAATATTAATAATTTTTATTAAATAGCAGCCTTATTATGAGGGTTATAATGTAGCGAAATTCATTGTCCACTAATTATGGTCCTGCATGAATGACGTAATGATACAACAACTGTCTCTCCTTTAATCTAAGTGAAATTGAAATCTTAGTGAAGATGCTAAGTATTTGTAGAAAGACGAAAAGACCCTTTGCAGCTTTACTGTAGTTAGATAGATCGATTAAATATATTTATTATTTAGAATATAAAGTAATAGATTATATAAAGATGAAATACTTTTTTATAAATTTTATTTAATCTTATCCTTATTAAAATTAATTTAATAGATATTAATTCTTAAATTAATAATATTTTATTTATTAATTAAAAAATATTAAAATATTATAGGAGACAATCTCTAATTGGTAGTTTTGATGGGGCGTCATTTTCAAAAAAAGTATCTGAATAAGTCCATTAAATAAATATTAAATAATTAAATAAAAATATATAAATTAAATATATAAAATATTAAAAATTATTAAAAATAATATAGATATGTATTCAAAAGATATTTATATTAAACTTTTAATAAAATAATAGAAAATATAAATGTACAGTTTTCTATGTTAATAAAACATAATGTAAGATAATACATAAATAAATATAATGGTATAACTGTGCTATAATTGTAATACAAAAGTAGAACAATAACGTAAGTTTGGCATAATGAACAAAATATACATATTGTAATGGTATTTGATAACGAATAAAAGTTACGCTAGGGATTAACAATAGTCCCATTAAATTGTGAAATTTAATTATCAATATTAAAAAATATTGAGTAAATTGGGTTAATTGCAAAGAACTCCTAATATTAATTAATAATAATAAAGGACAATCTGCAGCGAAGATTATAACAATCTATATTATATAGTTATAATAACGTTCAACGACTAGATATATGAGTAAGATTAACAATAATTATATCCACGAAAGCCCAATACATAAATAATATATTATGAAATGTAATGAAATAGTCTGAACAATAATGAGAATTATTGAAATAATAATTAAATGTTATTATGATAACAAAATTGAACAGGGTAATATAACGATAGAGTAGCTATTGTAAGTTATGTTTGCCACCTCGATGTCGACTCAACCTATCCTCTTGGTTGTAACAGCTAAGTAGGGTTTGACTGTTCGTCAATTAAAAGGTTACGTGAGTTGGGTTAAATACGACGTGAGTCAGTATGGTTTCTATCTTCTACAAATAATACTATTAATTAAAGTCTAACTCTTAGTACGCAAGGATCAGAGTTATTAAACCTATGATGTAACTATTGATTATATTAATTAATATTTATTTATATTAATAAATAATAATATTAATCATTATTAATTTATAATAAATAATATAAACATAGTAGTTAAGTTAAGTTTAAAAATAATAAATATTGAAAGCATATAAAATATGAAATAGTCTTTAATGAAAATAGTTAGTTGATAATTTTATACTAAAATATAAATAGGTTATATATATATTAAATATATAATACTAATTAATCAATTATCTTTATAATATCAAATTTATTTATACTTTATATAATTATATATTATTATCATATAATATTATTATCATATTATTATTATCATATTATTATAATTATCATATATTATTATTATCATATATTATTAATGGTGTAGGGTACACACCCCCCTAGTAGTGGTGGTACCCCATTAACAATATATTAACATTATACATATCATATTAATATAAATATTATATATACATATATACTAATAAATATATTAAAATATATCATATTAAATATACATTATATAATTATATGTAACATTATATATACCATATAATATACATTATATAGTTATAATAAAAATATTATATACATTATATAGTTATTATATACATTATATAGTTATTATATTAACATTATATACTATATTATATAGTTAAATTATATATCATATTATATATATCATATATACTAATAAATATATTAAATATACGTTATATAGTTATATAAACATACATTATATAAATTATATTATATAAATTATATAGTTAAATAAAATAAATATTAGTTAATAATAATTATAAGGTATTATATATTAATATTAAATAACATAAATAATGAGTATGAGTAATGTGTATATGTTATTAATTAATTCCGTATCATTTAGAATGTTAGGGTAGACCCCCCCATAGGGTGGTACCCTTCTAAATGATAGCTACATAATAATAAATTCTAATAATATACAATAAATACTATATATACATATTATAAAAATATATAGATAATAATGTATAATATACTAATAATAATATATACATATTATAATAATAAACTAATATTAAAGTATAATAAATAATAAAAATAAACAATATATAGTTATATATATAAATTATAGTAATATATAAATAATAATAACTAATATAATAAATAAATAATAAATGCAAGATAGTGTAATTGGTTAACATATAAGGCTCATGTCCTTTTGATATACGTTCAACTCGTATTTTTGCAATATCATAATTAAATATCATATTTTATAAATAAATATGAATATTCTAATAAAAATATAAATATTATAAATATAGTTAATATATAAATATAAATAATGTTATAAATTATATAGTAGTATCTATAAATAAATATTGGTATAACTAATATTATATAAAATAGTGATACGTATATATAATGATATATGTATATATATAATATCAATTAAATAATATATAAATAATATAAAATAACTAATAGTATATATTAATAAAAAATAAATATTGGTGGGGGCCCATCTAAATATGGAATCATACCCATAATTTGATGTGGCTAAACTATAACATTAATATTATATTAAATAATCATTAAAAAACTATAATATTAAATACTAATATATATAAAATATATAATGAATAATAAATAGATAATATAAATAATGATATACCCACATAAATATTAAATGATATTAATATTTGATGGGGCGATTGATATAATACTAATACTAAATATATAAATAATATAGTATATATAATCATTAATAATATTAAATAAATAATTACTTATGTAATATATACATAATAAATAATATATATATTGAATAAATATAATATACCACATAAATATTGAATATTATCAATATTTGATGGGCTGTTAAAATAATATAATAACATATATTAAATATAAATAATATTATACTAAATATTAATATAATTTGTAAAATATATAAATATTATAAATATATAAATATAATACTAATATAATAATATATTAAATACTATTGATGCCCTACTTATTAACATTATTATAATTTAAATATTATATATATATGATATATATAGTTATATAACATATATAAATATATAATATATAGTTTATTAATTTTAATAGTTAATGTATATAATATTAAATATAAATATAAATATAATATAAATATGTATATTTTAATAAGATTATTATTTTATTCTGTTATAGGTATATAAATATATATACTTATTGATAAATCGTCCTATATAAATAACTATAATTATGTATATTAAATTATATATAAAATATATAATAATAAATATAATAATAAGTTTATTAATTAAAATAATTAAGTATATAAAATATTATAAATATATAAATATAAATATATTATAAATATATATATTTTAATAAGATTATTAATTAATTCTGTTATTAATAGATATAAATATTAATACTCATAATACTATCGTCCTGTATATGTATTAATATATTATTATAAATTGATATTATATTATCAATATTACAATATATGTAAGTATAGATAATTAAGTATAAATAGTTATTATTAAATATGTATATTTTAATTTTAATAATCATTTAAACTGTTAATAGTATTATTAATATTACCCTACTATACTTATTATTAAATTATATGTAATAATATTATATTATTAATTATTAACTTTATATATTATATATGTTATATATTAAATATAAATATGATATTTTAATAAGATTATTAATTTAAACTGTTAATGATATTATTAAATATTAATTACATACTTATGATCGCCCGATTGATTATTAATTGTTATATCATATGTTGATATTATTAATAAATATATATTATATATATGTATTGATATAATACTCATATATATTATTTATTAGTATATTAATTTAATATTATTATATATTTAAACTGTATATATTATATACAAATATTAATATCATATACATTATTACCCTATATTATACTTTTTATATTATCATTATCATTATTATAATTAGATAATTATATATTATATATTTTATATATTGATATTAGATATTAAAGATTAAAGATTATATTATTCTGTATATTAATAGATTGAGAATTCATACTTATGATTACCCTATTAATTATTTACATTATATATTATATATATATTATATATTATATATATTAATACTGTATATATTTATTTCATATTATTAAATATTATATTGATTATACTATTTCATATTATTACTATTTATATTATAATTTTATATTATATTGATAATCCATACTTATTATTGCCCTGTATTGTTATTATGTTGATATTATATACTAATATTAATTATTATATTCATATTTAATTATTATTATTTATTATTGTTGATATTGTATATTAATGTTGACATTATATATTCATACTTAACTATTATATTGATTATATATTATAGTTATTATATTTTATATTTTTAATATTGTTATTATTATCATTATTATTATAATGTTACCATGTTGACATATTGTTAATATTGATTATATTCATTATATATTTTATATTAATACACATTTATTATGATATTAATTATTGTTGACATTATATATTTATACTATCATTATTATAATGTTGTCATGTTATATATTGATAAGAATTTGAATTATTAAAGATTATATATTAATTAAATACATATTTGTATGTTGATTAATTGTTAATTTATTGATTAATTGTTAATATTGATATATTGGTATATTGATATGTAATGTTGCCATGTTGTTAATATAATAGAATT